CTAAACTCAGCAAACTCACGAGTCACTTGCGTGACTGGACTGAATTTGATGAAGAGATGGCTGAACTCAACCGACCAAGGACCGATGAGTCTGATGAATCCCTCCGCAGACTATGGGATGACGACAACCGAGGCAGATCCATCAGGTTCCAGAACTTCGCTCTAAAAGGCTTCCGGAAGGCCGCCAGAGTACAATTCACCGAAAAATGTGAAGAAGTCGAAAACCTGCAAGAATGAGTCAAAGAACTCGAACTAATGGTCATTGAGGCACAGACGAGGGAGGACATGGCCCAAAAGCTAGTAAAAGACGCTTACAAGGTCCCCAGCCCTGACAACCTCACTCTCGCAAATGATGATAAGGCGCCCATTGAGAAACCTGATAGTGTGATGTAGAGACTCGTGCCTCTCATTGTGCAATATTGCAGTTTTCACTAGGGAGTACATGGCACGAACTTGTAGCATCACTCTGTATGCTATCCACAGCTATTCCTACATGAGGCGCAGCTTTCCCGCGCAATGCGCAACTTGCACGGGTACCTTTCCCGCGCTTCACGATGTATATGCGCGCGTGCTTTCCTGCGCTTGAGCGCCCTATAGCGCCAGCCATCCGGAAGCATCCATCCACTGTCCACCAAGTTCCCTAGTGCGTATATTTCCATTTCTCACATTTGCATATCGTTCCATTTTTATTTTTATCATGGACCCTTACTTACATATATCCTTACATACCTTACTCGGTAGCGCTTCGGCTCTGCATGACAGTGCTTAGGTGCCATACTTAAGCGCCAGCAGTACATACTATTACTGGACTTACTCTCCCACCAGAACGACAGAGGACTGAACCACAACGATACCCATTTACTACCTAGCGGAGTATAGTTGAAATCTATTCCTTGGCACCTCGCATATAACACCTCTCAGCTTGCATCTCCCACCTCTTGTCTAGTGTCTTATCATCACTTAAGCAAACTCACTCTTACTCTCTCTTGTTTCCGCATACACGCGCGCGCATTCCCGCGCTTCGCATTTGCCAACCAGTAGCGCCTTCGGCGCCTACTACTAGATCCTTGCTGCACTCGCTTCCCCTTTAGGGTCGAACGCACTTGTTGTCTCAAGTATAGCAGACTAGGCAACGCGCGACCTTACAACATTTATAGATACAGTCAGGAGCATTGTTCGTCCCTCGCTGTATCAGTTGAACCTTCACCGGTGTACACTGGCACCCCACTGTTCCTTGGGGCAACTGAGAGCAGAAGGTCTGTGAGACTAGCAGAACGAATGGTTAGCGCATCAAGTGGACCTCCTCAGGACAAACCACAGCCAAAGAAGACTCACCAAAAGAAATGGGATGGGGCCGGCCGAGGCGTACCACAACAAGTCTTGACAAACCCTCAAGGCAGAGGTGTACCTCAACAGGTATTGACAAACCCCCCAGACAGGGTCACACTGCAGCAGGTCCTGACAAACTTGTTTGTCATTTCCAAGCTACCGGACAACCAGGTCAGTGTGGACACATCTGGCAGAGGAGCACTCACCAAAACCGACATGAGATCGCTTAAAACCGGACAGGCCCTGACAAACTCGTTTGTCATATCCAAGCTACCAACTAACAGGGACATCAGTGCTGGCACTCCCCACCAGGAAGCACTCACCAAGGACAACATGAGATCGCTTAAACCGGCGGGCAACATGAGATCACTTAACCCGGCGGACGACAAGAGGTCCCTCAAAAAGGGAGAGGGCACACTGGAACTGGCAAGCGACATGAGATCACTTAACCCAGCGAACGACATGAGGTCCCTCAAAAAGGGAGAGGGCAAAATGGACCTGACCAGCAACATGAGATCCCTCAAAAAGGGAGTGAGCTTGGTCAGGACGGAGGATGCACCTCACCCAAGGGTAGTTGATGGCCATCCAGCGCCTGTGCAAGCTGGTGACTCGGTAGACCGGGATATCACCGGCCAAGAAATGGCACTACAGAACAATGAACAGTCAGTTCCGGAGGGCGCAACAGTAAACTCACCAGCCACCAGAATCAGGAAAGTGATCCTGAAGGTGGGTAGAGACCCATCAGAATCACTGGAGGGCGAGACGGTGCCCAGAGTGAGAACAGACAGCACCAAGAACAAAGGAAGGCCAACAAACATGGTCCTACAGCATGATGTAAGCAAAGAAGACACGCGGTCCAGACATTCACAAGACCAACCTGATGACATAAGCAATGATGTCACGAGAATCCAGAATCTCGAGGACGCACCTGGCCAAGCTGACATAAGCAAAACAAACAAGGACCTACAGCCAGAATCTGACGCACCTGACGACTTAAGTGTGACTCCCCCTCCTCATCTCACTGAAGTCATAATGCTAGGTGACCCTGCGCATGACATCCACGGACATATCACCCACAAGTACGGTGTAGCACTCAGATCGTCATTGGGCTCATATTCTGCCAAACTCACAGGTATTCCACATACACATTCCTCGACACTCCGTTTACCTTCCGAGAGTTCCGTGCGTTCGTCCGAATCGTCCAAAGGTCGTCCATCCATTTCCGAGGCCTGTATACAGTTCCGATCCTCCGTACCATGTCCCGTCCATATCCGTTTGACTTCGCTGGTGTGTTTTCCACCTTGTTATCTGTTATTGATTATGTCTAGGGGCACATATGTCGTCGGCCCGTCGGTTACACGCATAACAATACGCCTTGCGCCTTATTACATGCATATCTCTGTAGCAGCTCGCCTCGAGTCTTATTACATTTCGGATGTCTTATCTCGCTACTAGTTTCGCCTACGCAGTTTCCGGACTTTCATGCTGTAGGATATAATCTGCCTCGCTAGCTACTCACACTTCACTTCACTTTCCCTGCTACGAGTCATAGTTAGTAGAGTCACTTTCGGATAGTCGTACTTCGCGCAATCAATCTTTGTTCATTCGGAACGACTGTTTGGCCTGACCGCTGCCATTTCACTACTCGCAGTCTCTAAGTTATCCCGATAGTCTTTGCTTAGTTATACTTCGCGAAGTCTTATACTTCGATACACCCACCGTACTTCTCTCGGAACACTCGCTGTTCATCGGAAGCTCTTCAGACGCTTCGCGCAACCTCAGACCTTCGTTTCTAGACGTTGGACCACCTTCAGACCACTTCGGACAAGTACTTCGGTACTTCAGACACATCCTCGGAACACCGAGTGCACTTTTGGTAGCTTTTCCTTCTCTCACCTTCGATCTTAACAAGATATCCCTTGCTTTATAACAAGGAGCATTTCTATAGGCAGTCTCTTTGGGACGAACATCTCACTCGCACTCTGAGCCTTAAGGTAACACTTTTGTAGCGCCCACATAAAATCAACTCTTTACAATGGTGATGATCCCTTCTTCGCCAAAATCCTCGCAAGTCCAGCAGCATTCAAGAACTTTGAGGTTAGCAATGGGCAAATTTACCTGAGGGATAAGGGAAAGCGCACCCTTTGCATACCGGATGTTAAGATTAGACAATGGCGAGTACGTGAAATAATTATTTCGCATGCTCATTCTATTCTAGCGCACCTAGGACCCCACAAAACTCTACTGTACCTTAGAGAGAATGTCTGGTGGAAAGGAATGATCGCGGATGTGCAGGCGTTCTGTGAGTCATGCCCCACGTGCCAAGTATCAAAACCATCTAACCACCAGCCATACGGACTTTTAGAGACTTTAGAGGTCCCAACACACCCCTGGGAGACTGTTGGGATAGACTTTGTCGGTCCCCTACCCGAATCCAAAATGTTGCAAGGAACTTTCGACATGATCCTAGTCGCCATAGACCACCTCACGTCAATGGTCCACCTAGCCGCGACCAAGCAAACTTACAGGGCTAGAGATGTAGCGGAGGTCATGTTTAACCTAGTGTACAAACACCATGGTATGCCCAGCAATATTGTTAGTGACCACAACACTCTATTTACCAGTACCTTTTGGCAACGCTTCCACCAGCTCACTGGTATCAAACTTAGAATGTCGACATCATTCCATCCCCAATCTGACGGCGCAACCGAACGTGCGAACAGAACCATCACTCAAATGCTGCGACAGATGGTGTCACTGAATCAATGTGACTGGGCCCTTAAGCTACCCGCGATCGAATTTGCCATCAACTCTGCGTGTTCTGAGACCACTAAGTACCCGCTGTTCATACTAAACTATGGCAGACTACCGCCTCCTCTCATTTGGAACACGAACTCCGAGTTCCCAGGAGTACGTGTGTTTGCTCAACGTATGAAGGATGCGATCATAAATGCCCACGATGCAATTATCGCTGCATGCGTTAAGAACACTGCAACTGCTAACCAAAAACGATTGGAGTCCCCTTTTGTAAAGGGGGACCTCGTGTACCTATCAACTGAAAACCTCTCCCTCCCAAAGGGACGAGCTCGAAAGTTAGCCCCCAAATTCATCAGGCCATATCGCATCCTCGAGGACTACAAGAACAATTTGTTCTTACTGGACCTCCCGAGCCAACTCAAGCAGCGAGGCCTACACCCAGCCTTCCATGCTCACCTCCTCTGTCCGCATATCCCTAACGACGATTGTAGATTCCCAGGACATCAGCTGGCACACGTGTCTGACATCGGACATCTTGAGGAATGGTCAGTTGCCAAAATCGTAAGCCACCAGGGCTCTGGCGCTGACGCTCTCTTCAAAGTAGAGTACTCCACCGGTGACCAAGTATGGTTCCCCTACCATCAAGTGTCACGACTGGAGGCCCTCCCCCAGTACCTCGAAGCATTGGGCGTCCCAGGGATATCTCACTTACTGAGGAAAATTTCGACTTCATCAAGCAGTATCCCCGTTTGTGTTGCCAACTCGTTTCCAGTGGCCCGGGACTTGGTGTTCGGAATCGCAGACTGAATGATAGCTGAGTTTGCCGACTCGCCTCTCATAAGCAAGCGTGGCCCTACATATTTAATAGGATGACGAAGCAAGACTCTTCCCTATCCCTCACCTGAAAATCGGACCATGCGCCCCAGGTCCCTCACTCCCATCGACGTTGACATGCTCAGCGATGAGCTACCCATCAGGGTTGAACCTGGAGAACAGGTCGACGCTCCCAGGCACTCCAGGCCTGGTCGAGGTCGCCCTGGGCGTAATGCCCCTCCTCGCCAGCGCGAGTATGACTCTGATGCCCTCAGCGCTTTCACACATTTCTTTCGTGCCAAAGCACAAGCAAGTAAGCATCCCCGGGAATGACGACCTTCTCTCGATGCTTACCATTATTGTCCCCTAGAGGAACTTGCTATCCGCAAGGAGGCTCACGCCTTCGATCAACAGATCCGCGCTGAGCGATCCTGCCCCTTCACAGGCCATCGTCCTCATGGACGAAACATGACTGTTGACTATTGTCGGCCTCGTCGAGAGCCCACTCGACGACCCCCGCGTAGCAAGACGCTTCCAAGCTCTCGCGCTCCTCCTGCCACCGCTGCCCAAGTCATCGCAGACATCGTGAATAACACAGACACTATACTCACCCCAGCTCCTACTCCAGCTGCCCCAGTCATTGACCCCAGTCCGGACATGGAGGAAATTATAGCCGCAGCTGAGCAGCTCGATCTCAAGCAAGTTGGACAGATGCAAGGAGTGACTACTGAGAACGTCTTCAGTAGATTCATCCCTGTCGTCCTTCTTATTAACACCTCACTTATTCTGTTTATTGTGATAGCGGCCTTCGCCTCCTTAGGGCCTAGCAAAAATACCTAAGGAACTCACATCACCTGAAGAAAGGTCCTCTCGTTCAGAGGACCTGGAGGGCGTATGTAACGCTCGACAAAAGCTGTCGTCGATACGTCGACGATAGCAACTGATGATTAGAATCATCACTCACTCTAGTTACTTATATTCATTTGTTCTCTCACTTTCCATAGCATTCTATCCCTACAGTATATAAACCGACATATATCTACTTGTAGGGCAGTTGATCTTTTTCCCCTGAATATAACTTTAGTTCGGACAGTTTTTTTTTTTTTTTTGGTGGAACGATATTGTCGACTAGCAACTGACAAGGTCAATCCTAGAAGACACGTTTGGGGTACGGGAGTTTCACCCGTGTGGATTAGTTCGGACAGTTACTCTGCTCGAGCCTTAAGTCTATTCGACATTTCGACTCTCACGTGTGAACGTTCTATAAACGCCACAATTTCCCTCCGAGGGAGGCCGGGCTGCACGTGACTTGATGTTAAGTATTTACCTAATTGTGAAACTGCTGGCTGTCAGTGATTGTTAATCACTGACTCTATGTTATATGGAGGACGACACCCTCGCACAGATAAAATCTGTAGTCGATAGCCTGCAGTCTCCCATATCTGACCTCCAAATTCTTTTGTCGTTACTTTGTCGACCTTTGGACTACATAGGCCTTCTTCCGCCACAATGTCGCCGGCTCAATCTCGAGCCGCTCCAAGGATCGCGAGTCCTTAATATCGCAAAAGTCTTTCCTCCACTTCAAAGAGTGTTAATTGAGCAAGTTTTACCTACGTGGTCGACAGTCCTTGCTAATGAAGGACATCTGCTTCTCGCCGATCAATATTTCTGCCCCGATGCATTTTCTTTTGCACTATCTGCTGCAGGGGATGTGGTGCTCTGCGCTTATTCCACATTGCTCTCTTCAGTGCTCACAGAGGAATCTATTAGATTATTGGCCAAGTTGTCGACTCAGTATCCTATTGACAGACTTCATACCGCTGCTTTCGCTGGCAACGATCTATCAGCCAGGAATTCGGTCAGATGGGATGACTGTCTCAAAAACGTTTTTGCAGTACCATTAAAAGCTGCCAACGCAGTTGGCACGCGAGATTTGCCCCCAGAACTTGAGCTCGCGACCTATTTCAATGGCTTCAGCAGCGGTACGGAACGTTTAATATCCACTCTTTCCCGTTCCCCATCGCAGGGTGTGTTTTTTCATGTTATATCTGATATACGTATGACGTATGTTCAGATAGGATAATGTCTGTCACACAACTTCTGATAAAACTCGTAAATGTCGGCGTGTTTCCATCTTCATCGTTCTTACCACTGTCCCAACCATCCTTCTTTCGTTCCACGCTAGTCACAATCCGCACAAAGTTCAAACAGGATAATGAGCACAGTTACTCCAAGTTCTGGACGAATGTACTCATTGATCTCCCATCCACGGTTGCCCAGCAGACCATATTCGCGTCATTGTGTTCTTCTCTGGTGCAGTTACCTAGTAACTTAAGTGTTACTGCGCAAGATAGAGGCATTGTCGTGCAAGAATCCTTATTGCTTCGCGCCATGTTCGGAACTCTCCAGCCAGAATCAGATGCATGGAATGCGGTATTGGGTGTTGTGTTATCCCGCGATTGGAAAGAGAGCCATGCCAGGATTTTCGTCAGCTGGGCGGCCGGCACAAAAACAAGTCTAATAAACTTTAAAGGTCAGTGTTTTGATCAGGTTCTCGTGGACACGTGTCAACCGTGATGCTCCAGCACTCCAGGCTTTGTTGTCACGTACTTTGGAAATGTGGTGCACTCCAGAGCACATCAAGCACTCACTGCTGTTGCGGCATCGTTGTGAGTCTATCTTGTTGTAAAGTCGATTTCAGTAATTGATCGCTTCACATGGATCAGATGTTACATCACTGCTACTTCTCATTGTATCGTATTTCCCTCATCAATCAGAATATGTGGTATCAACTGCGCTTTCGCCTAGCTTCGTCACAGCAGTTGGTCAATATATCAGTCATCTAGATCATAGCATTCGTCGATGTGGGATGCTGGCAGCTGAAGTGGTTGCAACGCGTGCAGGCAAGAACTTGGATTTCGGAGACTGGGATGGAGACGCCGACGGGAAGCCCTGGGCCAGAGACCTAAGAGCACTTTGTTCGGCTCGAGACATTGATTTTGACCCCTGCGCAGTGGACGAATTGGAGGCAGCCACGGAGGAGAACGCCCTAACAGAAGAGATTATTACTGCTGGTGTCCTGGAAGATACAAAAATATCAGCGTTGAAACTCACAAAGGCTAGTGTCGCGACCGGCTACGACTCAGACGACTCACTTACAGGCTACGCATCTCCAACCTCCTCCCGTTCCGCGTCACCCACGCCCTCTGAGCTCCATGAGATGGAGAAAGATCCTACTTTACGTGTTGGAGTCAAGAAAATTCCACGACCTGTGTACCTTGCGCAACTAGGCGAGATGGTGCGGAACGCTAGAGTGAAGCCCGGCGAAGAGAGTCAGGAAGCCGACAAAGTCGAAATGGCACTTAACGTTGCAGAAGAGCTAATTAGGAAAAAGAGAGATTATGGGACTGAACTTGGTGGGTTCGGCATGGCATTACATACTTCAACAACTGACGGCTAGGCAGAGGAAAACGCTGCTAATTTGGTTTATGGGTTTACTTCTCTGAACGACAACTTCGAAATTGACGGCTTCGAGAACAAGCGTCAGCGTGCTATCAATGCTCTGATAGCGTGCTGCCCTCGAGTCTCTGCTGGGTAAGTTTCTTTGCAAGCTATGGTCGACAAACACGTATGATGAAATTCCCCACAGGTGCATCATCGAAGAATTCTTCGGCAATCAGTATTCTACAGAGCAACGCTTTGTCATACTCAACGGCCTTGTGCTTGGAGCACGAGAACTGGCGTCGCTCCCCGTCCATTCTGCAAGTTTGCAGCCTCTTAATAATCAACGCACCGCATTTCCTAGCAAAACTTTACCTCCTACCCTTCATCAGAAATATCTCACTGTCGATGGTCAAGCCAATGGAACTGTTCAAGGCTTGCTTGAGGGTGTCACACGGGCAGCAATTGACAGAGGAAAGGAAGCTACCGCCGACAAAGTGCCAGAGTTCGTACGAGAACGGCAGTTGCGCATAAGGAAATCTCCTAAAGTTGCTGAAGTGTCGCCTGCAGAAAGGCGAAGTCGAGCTCTCTTGACAGGCCAAACTTCGCAACCTCACCGAACTGCATTTATAGACGTCGCAGCTGAATACTTCATCATGCCATCTATCAACCGTTTCTGGGCATTCCTTCGCAATGAACAGACACGCGAGGAGAGAACAGCGCACCGTGATGCTCTGTATCGGTATCACGGTGCTGGCACAGGTCTTGTCCTCAACGCCGTTATTCTGTCACAATTCATGAGCTCTCTGGCGTTGCTAGTACATGCAGCACAGAATGCTCCGCAATGGCTGTCTATTATTGCACCAGGTGCACTGGAGCTCGCGGTTGCCTTGGGGACTCGACCGATCTCAAGGGCTGCTAACGATGACTCGGACTCGACTGGACTAACTAGGGAAGCTCGGGGGAAGGAAGCTTCGGTGCTCACGGCTGCTCTTGAACTTTCTTTGATTGTCCTGGATGGTTGTCTCGAGCTTGATGGGGGACGCTCGCTCGGGCTTGAGCACACTGCACTACTGTTGGGTGCTGGAGAGTGGGCTGGGAGGATTTTTGAGCTACTTGAGAAGGGCACTCTGGTAGAAGGTGGCGGGGGAGGGCATGAGGTTCGACTGCGTAGGGCTGCAGCAGGGGTATTGCTGAAGGTCGATGAATTGACCTCAAAATGGCGAAGGTCAATGGTAGATGTCCGATAGTCGATGCATGCGAGACATTTGTCTCCAGAAATCTCTTGTTAGTGCGTTACCGCCTACGGGTTGAGTCAAGTATAGTACATCTGGGGCACAAATGTTGCTAATTTATGTTACTTTGTATCTAATGCCAGTAATTGGCAGAGATGGCCTTGCCAGAAAGCCAAGCATCATCCAGGGCTTTCACAACCTCATCGGCTGAAGAACAGTTTAGTCGTATGACAAAATAGTAAGAGCTGTGTTGAACTCACGTAAAGGGCCCTTTTCGAGATCCAAAAGGTTCTGAAAATGATCGATTCATGTGTTGAGCCAGAAATAATGTACATGACCATACCTGCTCCGTGTGCTTCGCACTAGATGCTCCGATAATCACTGCGTCGCCAGTTTCACGAGACAGACAGCTGTGGTGAGAGATCCACCGCAAAGCCACTTCAGGCACCGTCAGATTGTACGCTTCAGCAACCTCGCGGACCAACTTGACAGCAGCAAAGTAAGTGTTATTCCAATACCTGCACTGTGCCAAATGCAAAACTTCCTATCCTCGAATGAAGTTTACCTGTTACGATGGAACTACGAAGTACAAAATTAGCTCTGAAGACAAGATAAAGCAGGGAAGTAGAAAAGACCTTGCCCTGGATTCTGCCAGGATCAAATCGGCTACCTGCCTCAGCCTGATCGTCTTGGCTGATGTACCGACCAGTAAAGAAGCCTCCTGCAACTAAATCAAACGGCTCAGGCTCATGCGTAGCAATACTACAGGGGAAGTGCGTACGAGGACTGAAGGCGTAGAAGCTTATACCATATTTACGTAAGCAGCTGAACAGTTCTGGTTCTACGGTTCTACGGACCAGCTGTATAAGCACAATATAAGGCGAGATACTCAATAGCAAACCTTTGTATCGCATTGTAAGCGCCTTGGTACACAGTAGGTTGGATATACCCATTTGACCTGCATATTTCCATTATTTGCGCTACTTCCCAACTATGCAAGAGGGGATTAGGACCTAGGATTGGCAATCACATTGAAAGATACTGACGACATATAATTGCTGATGCCAAAAGCTTTAAAATAGCCTTCTTTGTACAGTTCGTTAACAGCTTTTAGAGTGACCTCGTATGGTATAGTGCGGTCGGGACCGTGGAGATACCACATGTCAACTTTGCTGAATGACATTATCAGGTCATGGGCTTGCAATAGTGAGGATCACTTACTCGGTGTTCAGGGCCTTCAAGGATGCCATAATATTCAGGCGCAAACCCTTGAATGTCCAAGCATAAATAATCGTAGCAACGGAATGCAGGAAGCGGAATGGGTTCACCTCTGGGGAGTGATCACACAACTGGCCCTCCTCAGTAGGACGGCCCATCCGCTAAGTGACCTGTTGAGTCGACTTGAAAGAACAGAGAGGCTGAACGTTACAGAATGAGGATAGTGCTTGGTGTCCATGATCAAACTCCGATTCTGCCAGTTGATTTTTCCGAGATATTCTTCACTGGTGCCGAATGCATAAATGCGTGCAGTGTCGACCTAAGGAAAATCAATGTGTTGCAATGCATGGCTGACTGACGTAAGACCAACCTCATTGTGCCCATGGCTCTGAAAGATGTCGAGGATAGTTTCCACGTCTTTGAGTTCATGAACTCGAGCGCCTTCAGATCCTTCTACGCCAAACGTCATAGCACCCTGAAGATAACTTAGCACTGTCATCTTGAACGAGTGACTAAGTATTAACCATTACGATCTTCAAGGCGCTTTTTGAGCTGATAGTTGCAGACATGGTTGTTAGAATGTGAGCTGGACTAGTAGTACTATGTATGTGCCATGGATTGTCGTCCTTAGTGGGTGTGTTAAGTTTGAACTTATAAGTAGTGCCATGCCGAAAGGTGATACATAGCGTGCATAAGCCTTCGGCAAAAGATAGCTGGAATTAAAGTTGAATTGAGTGGGCTGGTCAGACTTTCTGACCGATGGCAATGATCGTCTGACAAACCAGCACGTTATTATTATACATAGGAGGCAATATGCCGTATCCAGTCACAGATCGTGTGAATTTCAGGTCTCTCATCCTACTGTTCCGACAAACCTCATCACACTTCCGCTCGCTGGTGGACAATGCTTGCAACCACTTTATTGAGGCGTTCAGCAACCTCAACTCCTTCAGTTTTTGGGAGGGCCTTCTCGAACTCGTGCGCGCGCCGCTCGGATGCATTGTTCATGGTAGGTGAATCTTCTATTTTGAACTGAAAAGTTATTAAATGTGGACAGCACCGCGACACGGAGTACAACAACCCGAAGGTATGCGTTCCATGTTGGCGACCTTTATACTTACTCAAAATACTTCTTGGAACAGATACCCTTTGCGTTCACAGCAGACAACGTGAAGAGGGCCGAAGAGATCATCTCTAGATATCCTCCGCAATATAAGAAGGCTGCGGTCATTCCTCTCCTTGACCTCGGGCAACGGCAGAACAAGGGATGGACGAGCATCAGTGTTATGAACTATGTCGCAAAACTGCTCGGGATGCCCCCAATGCGGGTGTACGAGGTCGCGACCTTCTATACCATGTTCAACCGGTGCGTCAACCACGCGGCACTAATCAGAGGTCTGCTCTATTGACTATTGTATTGGCGCAGTGAACCAATTGGGGAGAATTTTGTACAAGTCTGTACCACCACACCATGCATGCTGAGTGGTTCCACGGAGATTTTGAACACGGTTTGCAGTCAACTGGGTGGATTAACACCAGGAGCCACGACAGACGATGGTAAATTCACAGTTGTTGAAGTTGAATGCCAAGGTGCTTGCAGTAATGCACCTATGATGGTCGTGAATGATGATTTCTACGTTCGTCGCCTTTTCACTCCTCGCAAGACGTGAGCTGAACTGAGTCCAGGAGGATCTGACACCGGCAACCACAAAGAAAGTCCTGGAGGCTTTCGCAAAGGGCCAAAAACCGAAACCGGGACCGCAAAGTGGGCGAAAGACAAGCGAAAACTCTGCTGGACTTACCTCACTCACATCGAAAGTAAGTTTGCTTCGTACAGACAATATCATGTCATTGAATATTTGTTACTAGCCCTATGGACCAGGAGAGTTCTGCACACCGGAGTTTAGCTAGATATTCCTAGAACTAGAACTATCTTTGATGGTAATGATTTGAAAAAAGAAACAAAGTGTGAAGTCCTATCAGTGTTCAAAATCACTCGAGATGTTTAGTCGTCGCCCTCTCCGTCGTCATAACCATGTGCGCCGTGTCCACCCTCCGGAAGCCTTTCGATCATAAACCTGCCCAAGAAGTGGTAGTCGGAACATGAGATCAAGACATGGAACTTACTCAATCTCCTCTCTCAAGTCGTTACAGTAAGTGTCTGTGTATGTAAGTTAATAATAAAAGACGCTGAATTGTACCGAAACGCACCAAGAGGCAAGTCATGCGCGTCATATCCTAATGCTGTTTTCAGCAACATAATTGTTTGTCCGTGCAGAACACTTACCAAAAGGCATCTCGATCTCATCTGCGATACCCTCGATGCCCATTAATGTAAAGGCAACTACAGTAACGATGGGAATTGTGCTCCAGCCGAGGTCATTGATGAGGGTCAATGGCAGGGCAAACAGGTATAAAGTTACACATTGCTTTAAATGGATTCCATCTAGAGTGCTATCAGTAATTGGTGGAGATGCCAATAAAGATTGAACTCGCAAGGCGCGGGTATAGGGGTATTCGCCACCCTCTCCATCGAAGTCATTTGGTCAACCATTGACTGCACCCTGGAGAAAGATAAGATGGTTTTCAGTGGACTAACACATCTGACTTACAACCCACTCATGGCATTCATACCTGAGTATCAGCACAACATTAAGCGTCAAGATTAAGAATCATGTCAGGGTATCTTACCTGCCGGACCAACAGTTTCAAGCAAACCTTCCCGCTTAAACCTGAAGATGGCACTAGACAGCTCATGAGCGATACTGTTGTTACTGGTCAGTTATGGTGTGGCATATTAAGTTTAATTACGAACAGGAGGGGAAATGGGATAGACATTCGATCAGCGTAGGGGTGAAACTCAACAGTTTGATGAGAATTCGAAAGCAGCGGGGTAGTTGAAGCTGACGTGGTGGCATGGCCAACAAGTGTTTTCTTGCTGCGCTTCCGACGAACTCTCTTAGTGGCATTGGTGTTGTTGTGTGCACTATCCGAAGCTGATGAAGTCGCATCATAAGACTTAGGAGAGGATCTGCCTTGAGCTGTGGTATAACCAAGGTCGTGGATTCGCGTGAAAGATGCGGGAAGAATGCCAGTATAATCATCGTAATCAGGCCCATCTTCATTGCGGAGGTAGTGCTTGACAGCACATGCAAAAGCGACGCAAAACTGCAAAACTTCTATCTTCTGACGCTTGAGTTGAGCGGTGGTAAGCGCAGACGTTGGTGTTTTTCCAAGAACGTGAGCGGGATGATCTTCATCAGGAGGTAGCGAGACATGAATCCATATCATACGAGACAAGTTGCGGACCTAGAGAAGACTCAATGAAACAGAATACAGGCGATTATTCATCCCTACATTAGACGTGATGGACGAGAAGCACTTTCGACCTTCCCAGAAACGGTCGTATGAAGTGCTAGGCAAAGATCAAATACTGTCCTCGGTAACTTCATGCTTTACTCACCCATTTCTGTAGAGAGCTGTAAGCTGGTCAGCGTCGTGGACTATGCATATAACTCACCTGAATACGAGAATCAAACCAACCTGGGAATTGTGACATGTCAGCATATTCATGGGTTGGCAACATTCGCTAGTACTTACCACCACAGACAACAGTGGCACGACCGAATTTGTCAAGACCACTCTCTTCCCTTTGGACCACGCATAGGCAACCAACGCAGCAAATATGGTGACAGTCAAAACTGGACCAATTATACGACCGATGATCTATATCATGAGCATGTTAGTCACTGCGTTTTCTCCTGCCAACAACACGTACGCTGCCTTTTAATCGCAATACATCGGGGAGCCACGAGTACTGCACGGCGTCAGCCAAAGAGAAGCGGAGGAGTGAAATTTCAAATAACCTTGCGTAGGTACTTCCTTTTGATCCTTGGGGACTATCATCTAATTGGTTGGACAAAGATGGATGGTCATTTTGGAATCTTACCTTGAAGGCTGCTAAGGCGAACTTCAAACTCTGGTGGGACTCCATGCTGTCTAGTGGCAGACGGTCCAAATACTGTGGCAGACACCGCGAGAGTTGAGTTGGAGCCCGACGTCCTGTGCACGTGTTAGAGTGGATACTAAAACAGTTTTTGTGACCCGCGGGCAAGTTGCAACCCGCGGGTATAGTTACCGTATTAATACATCATTGATATTATTATCAAGCCAGCAAATCCCTCAGTCTACATATAGAAGGGCGTCAAAGCTTACTAAATTGACGATCAAAAGTTATATGCAACAACAGTCTAGAGCACGTCGGCTTTGGCTCTAAACCAACTCTCCTCGGCAGCTTGCAACGTTTAGCTGAAGTGTCAGATATTTCACGCTGCGTCGATAATAATAATCCAATGAATCGTCCAGTTGAGGCTGACATGTCTATACTATTTACTATTGCCCACAAGCTGTCCGAAGGGTGATAAAACAGTACTATAATAGGAGTGCGATATTAATCTGCCGGGTATTAATGCGTCGATGAGATGTTTGCGAGTTATGCTATGACACGTCTGGGTGATCGTAAAAATAGTGATGAAGAAAACAAATAAAAACTGCAGGTGCGTTACAAAGCGGGGACGGGTGACAGATCCGGTGTGTCATCTTCTGAATGCGTATACGCAGCGGGATATAGGGGAATAGGCTTGATGAGAGGTGTCGCAAGTGTTTCCTCCGCATGTGCGCACAGGTCAGGAAGAAATCGAGGGTGTGTCGGTAGAACGTGCAGAAATCCTTGTGAAAACAGGTCCTGAGCGTACGAGGAGGAAGCATTGTAGGCATGAGAGTAGGACAGCCGCCGAGCGTGGTGCCGGTCCTCGTGTTCCGGGTGAAAGTCGCTCATAAAGTTCATGTTGAAGGAAGGCTCGCTACTATTATCTGAGAGTGAGAGCAAAAGTTCTGCAGTGTGCGCATGGGGTGTGTACAAATCTGAGTCCGGAGGTGAGCCAGTTGTATGGGCATTAACCGGCCAGCTCCAGCATCCGTCGACGTTCTCCGGAACAACCCGTCGTTTTTCAAGACGCGTGATCTGCGGAGGCTGCAAAGGAGTGTGGAGGAGTTGGTCTACTGGAGTCAGTGGATAGTTGCAGGGAAAGTCCATCATGGTAAGACTGGAACCATCGTGAGTGACAACACATGCAGGGGAGCAATGAACTTCGGAAGAGTAGACGGTGGTGGGCCCTTCCAATTGCCGGCTGAGTGGGGCCAGCTTGTTACCGAGTCGTCTCAAAGACAGCGAGAATTCAGAACCAGTGCTGACTGAATTTTCTGTTGGAATCCCCATCGGCAAAGTCGGTCTGACCTGAGGAACCATCGAGGAGTTGGATACCTTCTCTTGTTCATCAAACAAATGGCGTCTGTTGTCGGCGTGGTAGTATGTGAAATAGGATTCGTTGGCAGAATTAGCAGACGTGGCACCTCGCTTTGGTTCTTCGAACCCATCCCGGACGAGACCACTGAAAGGTGAAGCCTGATCGGAGAACAAAGACAGAGGCGGGGTAGTATCTGCTTGGATTCCTGCAGAATATGACGCCGGCTCTTCTCGGTCAGAATGCTGAGTTAGCTGCGAGATCTCCAAGAACAATACGCGTTCTGCAAGGTGCGATTCAGTAGGAAAGCATACCGACACTGAGACAACAGACTGGTTGGATCGTTCTTGTACTTTTTCTTCAGTCTTTGAAGATGACTTGATACTTGCTTTCGAGTACGGTTCTTGCCGGTCTTCTCCAGAATGTACGACTGAATGAGTTGACACCGACCGAACGACTTGACGTGGGACGACTCCGCAGTTTCGTCTTGATCTTCTTTTAATATACGTACATATCTGAGTCGCCGCTTACCCATTGGCGGGTAGATGGCAATAGCTTGAACATATTCTCAGCTACGATTCTACAAGAACGTCAATTTCGGCGACGGATGCGCTCCCTACCTTCCATGAATGCAGCGTGCACGTCCTCACTCCATATATCATCATACCGAGATTGCTTTAGTTTGACGTTCGACAATTTCGTCTTGATACCGAGAGCGGCGGGGACAACAGGTACCTCCCATGACTCGGGCAGGAGTAACAGTGGTGCGACTTCCCCCTTGATAGATTCCATTGATTGTTCCGGTTGAATTCCAGGTTTTAGGTAGCGCAGGAGGGCGGCGTGCACACAATAAGTATTACAAGAAGGCGCACAAGAAGGGGGTCAACCTGGAATTTCGTTGGCAGTTGGCTTGAAATACGTCTGCGCGACAATAAAATTCAAACTCCGTGTCAATCACATGATGGAAAGGACATTATCACGTGATGACCAATATCTTAACGCGTGAAGTACTCAATGCGGCTCTGCATCTCCCACTCACTAGGTGAACCCGCGCAAGGGCGAAGATCAAGGACAACACCTGTGCTCATATTACTCCAAACTACTCTTGTGTGAATGACGGAACTTGAAAAGGCTATAGAGGCGCTCAAAGCTGCCGTCAAGCAAAGCGGAATCGACAAGCGCATCGGCGATGTTGTCAGCCAGTTTACTTCGTACCTTATTCTCTTGGTGAGCGTTCAACCTCATATCGAAAACAGGCGCTTAAAATCATTTCAGAAATCGTCGTCTCCTTCCTCACAATCAATATCAAAACTTCGTTCTATCCTTCGTCGACCTCTAGTTCCCTTGTATGCTGCCGTTCCCGGACCTGCGCTCCAGCTTTCCTCCGCTGTACTTCGCAAAGTAGTCGATGAAAAACTGAGAAATGCCCTGAATGCTCAAAATCTTCAACTAAGCGCCTGGTGGAATGACATTGCAGTTGCGCTTTTATCAGGTGTCCTGGTATGATATCACTTCTTGCAATATTATGACCAGACTTATCGGGATTAAATATAGGATTTTCTTGATAAACATGGTGATGGTGCGATTGGATTCAGAATTTCTTTCTTCTAAGTATCTGTCTAAGCCCCGAACTTGGCAGATATGACCAAGGAAACCATTGCATTAGCGTTTTATCCGACTATATGCACGCTCTTCTTCTATCAGGACGCCTCCTTAACACTTTTACCACGAACACAAAGGACGGTGAGTACTTACCACTGGATAGTAGTCTGATAGCAGCATATATGCGCTCATTTGTCATGTAATTTATGACGACTCTATTGATAGGCATATTCTCTGTTACATGGAACGCTTAGCGGACATCCAGGAAATCAACGGAGGCTACGGGATCATGCTGTTCTTGGAGGGTAAAATTGTCTCATTTTTTTTATTTGATCATGATTTCAGATTAGTTCTCAGGTCGCTTATTGGCATCGCAATCTCACAGTCCAAGGGTAAGTCTGCATGAAGCTTTCTTATAGGAGGTTTGTCTGACTCTACTTAGACTACCTTGTAATCGAAGCCCTTCTGGATATAGTGGGATGGTTGATCCCAATAACGAACAAAACGGAGAAAGGGACGGTGAAACGGACAGAGTTTATCAACAACCTTTTTGGTTCCGAGAAACACTTCAGCTGTAGTTCGGAACTAGTCAACGCCCTCCAATACATTAGCAGCTCGCACTGGGAGGATACGGTAATGAAGATCATGGATACTTTGGCCAGGAGCGATATCACCTTGTGAGTTTTTCGGATTGGTAATGCAGGCCAGACTAATCCACTCCTTGGATCAGCCCTCAATCATTTGCCTTGGACGAAGTCGATGTATGCGGCAAATGTTATCCTCAACCGACTGCATTTGACCGCTTGCACCTGGATAGAGAATTTTTCCTTGCCAACGTTGTTGAGCAGGTGATTGTATTTATCATGCTGTCGTGGGCCTCGCTGACTATTGTTACCAGGATGATGTTTGCGACAGCTTAAAGATCTCCTATAGTCATATACGCTCTGTTACGATCGACGTGTCAAAGGCGCCACCGCATGGCAAAGTCATTGTTCATGTCGATTTAACAACGCCACCAAGTATTGGAGACGTGTCGTTTGACGTCCCGGCAGGTCAGAAGCTTTACTTGAAATTCGAAATTCAACGGGAGGATTTAAGCAGGCTCATGGAGGCTTTACGGAGGCGTGGTATAGTGAGTGCAAGGAGGCTATCGATGAATAATTTCACTAACAGCTTCAAATAGGTCAAGCTCAGTTTCATAGGTGAAAATCCCCAACAACAAGCTAAAAAACGGAGAAGTGTTGGTCTCGCACATAGCATCAGACTTTCGGGCGACTCTTCACCACCACCACAAGGGTCACAGTATGAGGTTGTTACGTTAATCTAATTCTCAACCCTCGTACTAATAATTCTGCACGTTGCAGGATAAAGTTAAACATGTTCAAAACGGTGAAGTCCCTAGGTTCAGTTCTATATTAATATTGACTTCAGAGCCGACAGTGTACGAAACCAACTTCCCGGATGATGCACGATCTATCGCTGCTCACTCTGAGCAAGAATCCATGTCGGCACAGCAGGCGCTACCCCGAATTCCGGCTAACAAGCCTGAGGTTCAGGAGTCCAAAAATGACGCCAGCGCCGAGCGTACCCAAAAGACTGTCCCCAGACCTCGGCCTGTATCCAAGTCCGCGAAAAAAGTTGCGCCTCTTCCGGTTACTCCGCCTCGCAAAAGTCCTGCAAAGGACGACCCCCTTAGTGCAGTACACGTCTCAGTGTTTGGCGAAAGCGATGACGAGCTCTCCGAAATATCTGACGACGAACTTCTCAAACCTGTCGCCGACGTTCGCTTCATAGTCCATCCAGCACAAATTATCAAAGCCAAGCCAGCTCCTAGTCTCAGCGCAAAAAGCATCAGTTTTCAACCAGCGCCCAAACGCATCGCCAAGCGAAGGTTAATTGTGGAATCCGATAAAGAGGAGATACGAGCCACGCCCAAGGGCGCTCAGAGGGCGACAGTTTCACCAGCTAAGCCAGACATTAACGTAGAGACCGTAACGACAGAACTTGGCAAGACACGCCGCATCGATGGCAAATGTTCTTCCACTCTGAGGTCGTCTAGCACTATTGACACAGATCTAGAAAATGTTTCCCTGGAAGTCAAAAGGCCGCATACACTATCCAACAAAGAGACCAGTCACCCAGGACCAGCCAATAATGCCGCCAGAACACATCTCGACGACGATGCCTTCTTGAAGGATGCTTCTGTTCATGATCAAGTGCCACCATGCAAGACTATACCCGACGCGGAACTGACTGCACGCGGAATCATACCCACTTCACCTATGAAGAATCTGGCAACAGGTAAAGGAACTATGAGGCGTGTGCCCCCTTCAAAACTCGCAGATTTAGCCAATATACCAGTGAAGCTGGCAGGCACTCGACGCAAACGAGATGACGCAAGTTCCCCCACAAGAGCACCCGAGGTTCCAGAGGACGATCATCCACCTAAGAAGAAGGCCCGTAAAACTGGCGACATCCCTAACAAGCGTGCAGCAAGTATACTTCTCGACCCTTTCGAACCGTCAACGACGTCGATAACTATCACGAAGGCTCCCAGGAAGTACGGAAAGAAAGGGAAGGCACTGTCACCTATTCCACCAGAGAACGTAGACTTTGACGAAGTTCCTGGAGCAACTTTGAAAGGGAAGACGAACGCGCGAGCTAAGCCAGTTAGGGCTTCCAAACCGGCACCGAAGAAGGTTCCAACTCCGATTTCTGGCAGACAAACCCGCGCAGTCATTCTGCGACGTAGGAACGAGAAACCGCCTAAACCCGAGTCGCCCGAAGAGATCAACCCGAAACTCCAGCCCCCAGAAGCCGACACCGGGATAGTCGCTGCATCAGGACCAGTTGAACAAATTACAAAAGTGGAACCCCTTCATAATTATGCAACCAACACTCCCTCCGTGTCCCTTAAGCCAGAGTCGGCATCAAGAGAGCAAGCCAATGAGGTATGTCGCTTCTTCCTTTGATTATCTACTCCTCTTATTGCATACAAGATGGACATGGACCGGGCGGGTGCGAGCACCAAGACCAAGGCTGGAAACACTAATACAGTGGTATATCGATCTAACCAAGGTGTCACTAACGTTCCAAAAGCTAACATCATTTCAGATAACCGAAAAGAAACCATCAACTCCAGAGTGTGCTCATACTCCCAAATCAAAGAGGGCACCTTGGGAGGACCCGATATTCGTTGCACAACATGCCCCGGCCGAGGAAGTGAAGCCTTTGGGGGTCAGCCCCCTAGATGAGGATCCACTAGAGCCAATCCAGGATGTCGCATCGGGAGATGTAGATGAAGCGTTCTTCGGCGATTTCATTGACTATTCAGTATCATTGAAAGGGAGCGAGGATCCTATTCTTGTATGTCACGCTTTTTGTGATACTATGTTAGCTGAGTGTTTCGCAGCCTGCCTCCTCAGATCCCCCTCCGTTACAATTGACCCCACGTAAATCCCCTGTTTGTATCGACCTCACACTGGACCCAACTCCAGTAAAAGATTGCCACAGCTCAGCAAAGGATCGTGGCGTGTCCAAGGATGCCGGAATACTCCCGAGTAAAGGCCCACATCCCGTAGAGAGCTTCATTGCAGTTCCAGTTGCCTTACACGTCACCGGACCTCAAGATGGTCATGGGACATGTATCGGGGTCTCAAAGCCTTCTACCGATGTTGCCATGGATGTCATCATATCCCAAGATCCTTCCCTCCTGCCTATTCCCTCTCATAACGAAGAGCGACGAGAGCAACTCGCAGCGTTGAATATTTTCCCCACCCCCATCAGAACAAACGATGCCGAAGGTTCTTCGGTTGGGCCTCGTGATGTGAGGCCCTCACCTTCCGTTCCGGTTCGTCGGAGGCAATCGGTCGTTTCGTTTGCATCACCACTGGTGACCCGGCCCAATTCCGATGATGCTGTCCAGATCCCCACCGTGACATATTTGAAGTCTAGTATTCGATCTAACAACCATGGTGCGTTTAGAAACGGTATCCCCGGAACCAAAACTCGCCCGCCCAATGGACCAATTCTGGACCGTGTCGTCTCACTTGTTTCTGATGACGAGTTTGAATCATCTCATCCTGTGCGGAAGTCGTCCTCCAATCGGGTACGATTTGAGAATCATGGGTTACCATATTCGCTGTCCCCTCTCGCTCTGAAAACGAGCGCCCACCCAGTCAAACAAATCCCTGGTTAGTACAGGGATACGTGGCATTTTGGAACGTCTGACACGCTTTGCTTTACCAGTTCAAAGTCCCCAAGAACAACCTGCAAAGAAGTCGCGAAGGGAGAACAGTCGTCGTAACATCAAGTCCGATGAGGGTAATGATATCCAGGACATAGTGGATGTGAGGAAAAATATGCTCGAGTTTTTGCCACATCATTTATTTATTTTGCAGGTATTGAGTGACATCCAGAATGTAAAGCTCCTGACCTTGTGACTAGACGTACTCATCGCCTGACTTCTGCTTAGGTTATAGTGAAGGGCATCGCGAACAAGTTCAAAAGCGTCAACAAAGAAGTCCGCGCTGGGAGGGAGGAGCTCCTGCGTGACGCAGCTGAAGACTTACACGCGTTGGCAGATGCATAGTCAGTGATTCATTCCAGACATAGGTTGCTGACCAGAGTTCATTCTGCTATGATCAACCAGTGCAACACAATACACCTCATTCATAGTTCTGGAGGAAGGTTATTCTAAGTACTGCGCGACTATGACACGTCACTGGGAAGGCTTGATCAAGTCCAGCGAGCAACTTCAAGATAATCTGAAGAAGGCTCTCGAGACACACGACCGCAATGTTTCTTCCAAGACGTTTCCAAAATCACTATTTCCACCGAACTCTAGATTCTTGAAGCATTAATTCCGTGTATCTTGATGGCCATTGACATGTACTGTAACTACCCGCACCTTGCCATCAAGGGATTTTCTATTGTTCGACTACTGTTTGCAAATCGAAGTTCATGAAGTATTTGTTTTGCTTGTGCGGGTCAAGCGACAGTGTGAGGCGAACTATATATGAACAAGAAGGGCGACTCGGACTCGCTTGAAACAAGTGGATCCATACTTGTCTCGTGTACACGAGTCTGTCTGAACACGCCCATACGCTAGTTTATACTCACTGCAGGAGTACTCAGACTGTTATTGAGTATGCCACCCGCACTAACTGGCCCACAATCAGCCTCCTTGTCAACGAGCAGTCCGGCCAAGCTCAACTTCTATGGGCCCGCCTTATCTCACCCCCAGAACGTACTGAGTCATGACTTCACTAAAAAAAATGGGTGCCGATGACAGCAAGCACGATAATCAATTCATCACGTGCTGTTCACAAGCAGCAGAGGAAAAGTGAGGATCAGCGGAAACGGAGCTCGAAGACGATGAATACATCGATAGTGTATGCCTACATCCGTCAGGTGCCACGGACGCGAGAAGGAGATCAGTTTGGACAAGCGCTCCAAATACTATCCTAGACTTTGGACCAAACACAGAAAGAAATATCGAGGAATCCAAAAGATCGAGGTGAGCTAATTTCTCCCAAGAGTGAAATGAGTAACTCTAACTTTGACAGAAATATAAACTCGACAAACCCACCATAAGTGGAGAGGGTGTTTGTCCGTGGAGTGCAGAACAACGCTCGACTGCGGCTAGTTCATTTGAGATAGATGATCCACGGGCTGACGGTATTTTGCAAGTGGCGAACTCTGTTGAAAGCAATGCGACAGTTCCGTCTGTCTTGAGACGTCAACAACATCTCAAGATAAATGGAGCTGTGGGATCCGTCGGAAGAGGGAGATCATAGTACCAAATGCCCATGTCCAAGACTCCAAAACGGCGAGATTTGAAACGACAACCTCCAAGCTCAGTGGATGCTCTATAAAAAGTCAGTGATCACCACACAAACGAGTAAATGGAACCTTTCAAGATTTTGCATGTGCACAAAGTGCTCGGAAGTAACCGGCGCTAATATTTTGCTTCCGTTTATTCCGTAAACGTATGAAATTTGTGCTCTATAAAGCTCCAGTCAGAATTTGAAGTCACACGCGCATGAAGGTCATTTGACACGAAGAATCTGGTCATCTGATTGGACGATCGATTTATGGCGTCGATTTTTGGAAGCCTATGCGCAGCCTTACCCCACATTCGGTCTCGCCGCAATACACATGTGTCCCGGATCCTATTCACTGCTCGTAATCAGTTTCTACAATCATCTCAAATTCTACTAACAAGATATTGTTCAACAACTTCCGTGATTACTATGACCACCGACCTCACGAGCAAACCAACCGACTCGGGTGACTTCCGTCTTCCCCTGGACGTCAAGCCAACGCATTATGACGTGACTATAAAGACTGACCTGGAGAACTCAATATTCGAAGGCGTGGTAAAGATTGAGTACGTCCATGCACACTGTCCTTCAAAACATCATTGACCAATTTCATCAGCCTGGATGTCAAGAACGAAACATCTACCATCGTCTTCAACTCAGCCGATCTCAAGTTGAACGATGCGGCATTATATTCCGATCAACTCAAGATAAAGCAGGTCGATCCTTCTCCGTCCTTCGATGACAAGGCGGAACGTTGTATACTTTCCTTTTCGACCCCTGTGCCCGCAGGATCAAAGGCAACACTGTCCATCGGCTTCTCCGGAGAACTGACCGGAGCCATGATGGGGTATTACAAGAGCTCGTTCGAGCAAGACGGAACCAAGAAGTACTATACACTGACCCAGTTCGAAGTGTGTATTCGATCCCACTAACTGCACTTGCACTTACGGATTGTCGCTAGCCCACCGCCGCGAGACGTGCCTTCCCGTGTTGGGATGAACCGCTTCTCAAGGCGACCTTTGCGGTCACTATGATATCACATCCTGACACGGTCAATCTCAGCAACATGCCTATTACATCGGAGGAAATTTACCAACCCCAAACGACCAAAGTGGAGGATCCCTCATTAGAGGTGCTCTTTTCGGCGTTGACGACTCAAGATAGCCCCGAAGCGCAGTGGAAGATTTCCAAGTTCCAGACTACACCACCCGTATGTCGACGTCGTCTAACCGGGTTTTTAAACTAAAAATCGGTCTACAGATGTCTACTTATTTGGTTGCATTTGCCAATGGACGTTTCGCGCACCTGGAAAGCTCTTATAAGAGTCCTCTGAGTGGGAAGATCCGTCCCTTGCGCATATACTGTAGGGACCCGTCCTCACAGCATTCTGGGTGCAAGCTGATGTGATTTGGATAGCTACTCCTGATGTGATTCATCAAGCTCAGTATGCCCTCGACATCAAAGCAAAAGTTCTCCCAGTCTATGAGGAAATTTTTGACATCGAATACCCTCTCCCAAAGCTGGATACTCTAGTGGTAAGTGTCCTGTGTAGAATCCCCTTCAGTCCGTTGATGATCGGTGGCCCGAAGGCCCACGATTTTGACGCAGGTGCTATGGAAAACTGGGTATGATATATCGATTCCTACGTGCTTTAGTACTTACTTCTAGCAAGGGCCTCATCACTGGACGTACTAGCGCCTTCCTGCTTGACCCTAAGAATGCAGACGTGGCTGCAAAGAAACGTGTCACTACCTTTCAGTCGCACGAAGTTGCTCACATGTGGTAAGTTCATCTCCATTGTTCGAAGGATATGTCGCGGAAACTTTTACTCAGGTTTGGTGATATCACAACTATGGAATGGTGGGACTATCTGTACTTAAACGAAGGTCAGTCTCTTGCCATGATTTCGATATTGGTATTGAAATGTATTTAAGGTTTTGCAACCCTGGTAAGCTTAGCGGACATAAGCGTGTAAATCATCTGCTGAAATTACCCGCTCCAAGATGGGTGAAGTTATCGTTGTTGGTATGTCTCGTGTCCATGCACTCACTGAACCCATTGACACCAATCTTTAGATCGGTAAGCCGATGCACTCCACTCTCAACATAACAACAACATCTTTTACCAGTGTGTACCCGGAATGGAAGGTTGACAGCTCATTCATATCCGAGCATTTGAATGATGCGCTGGATCTTGATGCCAAATTGTCTTCTCATCCGATCGAAGTGCATTGTCCTGATGCCAACCAGATCAACCAGGTATGACTAGATTGGCATACCACATGGGGTGCGGCCATCTCATACAAGTGACCATCAGATATTCGACTCCCTTTCCTATGCTAAAGCAGGCTCTGGTAAGGCATTCAATTTATCTTGTCACCACCCCATCTCACGAGTGACGCTTTCAAGTTTTGCGCATGCTATCCAACTTTGTTGGCGAGGAGCGCTTCCTGAAGGGTGTTTCGATCTACCTCAAGAAGCATCTATATGGAAACACTGTTACCAAAGACCTGTGGCAGGGTATCTCAGAGTCCACTGGGGTAGATGTGCCGAGGATCATGGACAACTGGATTTCAAAGGCAAGCATAACAGTTTGATCCGCACTCCACTCTAACACGTGTTGTCTCAGATCGGCTTCCCTGTCATCACTGTCACTGAAGGTGAAAATGGCATCCATGTCCGCCAGGATCGTTTCCTGGAGTCTGGACCTGCAGAAGAAAAGGACAATGAGACGATATGGAACGTGCCTTTGGCCCTGCTGACAGCTACTAATGATAAAGTCAACATCGACAAGTCCGTCGTTCTTGACACTAGGGAGAAGACACTCGCCATTGATACCTCGAAGCCTTTCAAGCTCAACGCGGGGACCTATGGTGTTTGTAAGTCTGTTTTCTGGTTGATAGCGTTTGTATTCATGGATGATTATAGACCGCGTGTTGTACTCTGATGAGAGGTTCGCAGCGATTGCTAAGGAGGCTGCCAAGGGCGATACTGTGTTCTCGCTGAATGACCGCATTGGCCTTGTGCATGATATCATGACATTGTCAAAGGCTGGGTTTTGTAAAGTTAGCAGTGCGTTGACCATCGTCGACATTTTACATGACGAAAAGGAGTGTGAGTGTCCTACACTTCAATTGGGTACGATTTTGATGAAATTATTGACTGCAACATCTTCCAGTCCTTGTATGGGACAGTATTGCTCGGAATATCACCACTTTGGTGTCAACTTGGTGGGAGCACGAGGTTATCGTCAACGATCTAAATGTTTTCCGCCGGGTGGGTTGATCATTTCAAATATCTGTTTTGAGTGCTGACTCAGTTTGTACTTATAGGAATTGTTTGCGCCCATCGTCAAACGCCTTGGCTATGAATACTCTCCTTCCGAGTCTGTGGATATATCACAACTGCGCACCCGCGCTATCGGACAGGCGGCTGCCGCTGGGGACCCTGCGTAGGTATCTATTGAATATTGATCTAGGTGAAATTTAACGAAGTCGCAGTGTCGTGGAAGAGCTCAGGACCCGGTTTACGGAATATATGAGAACGCAGGATGATTCGGCGATACCTGGCGATCTGTTCAGGACGACTATTCTCACTGTGCGTCAAACGTTGAGCGACGTTGCGTCTATGCTGAGTGTTATATGCAGGCTGTGAAACATGGAGGTCGTGAAGAGTATGAGTTTGCTAAGGCATTGTACGAGAACCCAACTACGCCTCCGTCGAGAAGTATCTCTGCCATGTAAGTCAGACCTACTTTGTAAAGAAGTTTGTTTATTTTTAATACATTTGTCAGAGTGGCGATGTGCGTCAGCCAAGACGAGGCTTGTATTGAGGACACGTACACGTACATCATGTCAAAGGCGCGGACTCAAGATATTATATATTTCATCAACGGCTTCCAGACGAACTTCTGCACCAGGCGCAGCTGTGCGCAGTTCTTCCAAGACAATTACGGGGAGGTGAGCTGTCAGTTGAGACGCCGAGGAGTCCCACGCCGAACATGATCATTTGATAGTTGGCTAAGCGGTTTGAGGGGAACTTTTCGTTCAAGTATATTGTTTCGGTATGTTTCGATTTGCTGTTCTGTTGTGACAGGCAGGACTTAGCGTGCATCAGGCAACTTTTGAGAATCTGACCAAGG